CTACAACTAATTCCTTGGGCTGCTAAAAAATTCTTTTATTCTGGCACTTTACTTCAAAGAATTTGGTTTCTATAATTGAGACATCAGCAATGCTTTGGGAAATACTATTGTTTTAGATGTGAGTTGCAGCAAGGATGCTTTTACAAGATAGAGTTTCTGGCTAATCCAATGCTAAAATATACTCCTTTCCATTTATGACCTATTTGCATCCACTTATATACATAGTAAGACTGGTTTTAAAATCTGCAGAGTTTCAGATGAGAAGGTTTGAGGACAGAGATGATGCAGGAATGGCAAGCCAGCATCTGGCACCCTTCGCAGCTTGGAGTGTGGGGATTGATCCTTGGTGGTTAAATATTAAAAGTCAGCAGTAAAGAAAACTTTTTGTTCAGGTGAGAAACTGGATTCTCTGAGAATAGGCAGTGCTACATTAAGACTTAGGATATAAAATAATTGTTATTCTGCAAGTTTCACAGGATTCTTTATTTCTTTTTCTTTTATTGTTTAAACAGCCTTGTTTCTTTATTTCAGACCTTGGGATATCAGTACTCTTGGCACTGACCATGGCAGTTATTATAGTCATTAACTGCAATTATGAGATACCTTCAGTATCCTCTCAGGTGACAGATTCAAAAACAGGACAGTAGCAGAATTGCATGACAGATGCTATGAGGTGACAGTGACTGCAGAGTGCTGTATGAGATGCTGTGCGATCAGATCTATTTGGGGACTGTGTAAGTGAGGAATGTGGGAGATCACTCATTACTCAAATGCAAGAAACGCAGCCTGTTCTTGGGGCATGTGGAGGTCTTTGATTAGTTACTCTTTACTAGGCTTCATGGTGCTTCAACCACGCTGCTCTCTAAATATCTGTCCTTTTCCCCTCTGCCAAATAGCTTTCTTTGCAAGGCTCTTGAATTGTCATGAGATAAATTCTGGCTATAACTCTCTGTTCCTTACATATCCAGATCCAACAATCAGCCACAAAATTTTCGGTTAGTTTTATTGAGTATTTTATTAAATGAGTCAGGAATCTATTTCAAATTACATCATCTCTATAGAGTTCAAGTTCACCTCCTGCATCACGGCCCACTGCTCCATGGCTTCTTGCTCCAGGCCTTCAGTAATAGCTGAAACACCACCTTTTAGGAAGATGGAGTGCGCTAAACTGCCTTCATTCCTGACAATGTGAGGGGTTTGATAATTAGGTAAGGTGTGACCAGAACATAGATCCTGTCATTACAGAGAGAGCAAGATTTTAAAAAGTCATTTTTTTTTTTTTCAATGTGATTTCTGTTGGATTCTTGACTAGAAAAATCTAGCCACCTTTGAGTAAATCCATGTTTGTTTTTAACAGTATGGGAAAAGTAGCTGTACAGAAAATGTATTTCCCATTCATGGATCAAAATAATTTTTTGTGCTGTAGAAAATATCTTATTTCATTAATAATGGGATGTTATATTTCTTAAGGTATAAACATGGACAAGGTCTATTTATTGGGAATCTACTTGTTTTTGAAATATAAATTTACTCTCATCATCTAAGCGAGATTGTACTTTAGACTCTTCCGACTGATGAGGAAATTGAAATTCCTGTAAGTCAAAGATTTTACATGAGGTCACATATCTATTATATTGAAAATTTGTATCATAAGACTAGATCAGACTAGATTAAAAACACTTATTTTTCCAAAATAATGTCTCTGTTTATGAATCAATTCAGAACTTCACCTTAAAACATAAAAGCAGCAATTAAAGTTGAACCTTCTTATGAACATGGTAATGAACTACACTGATTAAATCATTCAGCAAACTAAAATAATTTGAAAAAGAAAAAAAATCACTTAAACTTTCCTTACCAAATCTATACAAAAGCATGCTTCCTCCTTAGGTCATACTTTCCTATTTGCATTAATTTCTTAGTTAAATAAATGATTTCATGATTAAGTTTAAATTTCTCTCATTTTTCACATTTTTCAGCCTGCAATTTTCTATACACATTCTGACAAATATTAGACAAACTATGTTAGGTCTAGTACTGTGCAAGATTTTATTATACTAAGCAGGCATGAAAGTTGAGAGCCTCGTAAATATTAATCAGAGACTAATGAACAGTGGGAGACTTCTGAATATCAATCTGTACTAGGGGGAAATTTTGAATTAGAGACACTACTTTCTACCCAATAAATCAGTAGTGAAAAATTGAAGGCATTCTCATGCATCTGCTTATGTAGCTAGATCTCTAGTCCTCAAGGAGCGTAAGTGTGAATTCTGAAATAGATATAATTTTATCACCCCACATGGAGCTTTTGCATTTTTATCTGGACCATTTTTTTAAATTTTAATTACCTCCAAAAGAGGCTGGATTATATCACAGAAAGCTGGAGTGCATTCTTTAGTATTAGAGTTAAAATAGTTCAAGAGTAGTTAGAAAGAGAGCTCCTCTCATTCTTCCTCATCAGTATTCAAAAACCATTGCCCAAAGGGACTAGCAGACTCAAGGTTAACAGGAGAGCTGAAATGCCAAAACTTGATTGGCTTATTGCTTTTATTCAATGTGCATATTACTGCTTTTGCCTCTGGCACATGTATAGATGTATAACTGAAAAGACAATATCATAATCTATATATTCTCAAATAACGACAGGCCTATTCATACATCTACACACCTACATATCTTTATGATTAGCCATTAATGAAAAAGCATCCCTTTGCAATGGTCAGAGTTAATTATTTAGTAAGACAAGTAGGAGAATGGATAGTGGTATTCTGGGTTTTATGATATTTTTGATGCTGTCACACAAAAGTAATGGGACTTACTTTTCCATTTGAGTTTTTTATTCTTTAATATTCAGAAACAATTTAAAACCTCCACCAGGCATTAATATTTTAATGAGAACATTTAGAAGTGATTGTTAATATGAGAGTTTCTTCATCCCATCGTATTTGGGACTAAAATTTTTTCCCAGATAGGGCTATTATAAGCTATGTTTACTGAAACGACACAAATGCAGTTATTAAGAACACAGGCAAATATAAAGATCTAGAAATTAAATCTGATATTATGTATATCATTCTGAAACACACTAGAATATTATTTTCAAAATTATCACTTTATGTCATGCCAAGTTTATATAGAAAATATAATAGTAATGTTCTTTCCAGTGACAGCTAGCCTCACCATAAATGTTTAAATATAGCTAAAATTATAATGTGATTTCCTACTGTATGAATATAATAACATAGAAATGGTTGCAGTTTGATGTCTATTTGAGTAAAATACTTGCTTATGCACTCCTTGCCTTATACAATACACACAAATTGTTTGACATCTTATTTTTTCTATGCTATTTAGATGCATTGATTTTTTTTTTATTTTTCCTTCTGTTTATATTTGAAACTTTTAGCAACTACTAAACTGAATGCATCATATTTCTGAATTTTGTGTGTAAATTATCATTCTTGCACTAACAAATCTGTAGGAATTAGCATACTGGTAATGAATTGCCAGTATGACAATAACACAGTTGTTTATATATATATATATAGATTTATATTTTCATTTTACTTTGCTTTGTCTTACAATACTCAAAATATTTTTTAAATTATGAGCATAGTCAATGTAATAATATTTTTCTAATCTTCATTTTTATGGAAATTTTGCAGTAATAGGAGTTTCTTTAATGCCATATCATTTAAAAAACAAAACTCTTTCACAATTCTGTTGGTCAATATCCAAAATTGATTCTGTATAGTAGTTCCAATGTCATTTTATCTTATTTTACCAACCTATTTTGCTAGGAAACCAGAGTCAAGTTTTCAAAATATATTTACATTTGTCACAGGCACATTTGATCATTTTCAGCCTTTATTCAGAACAAATTCCTTGAAAAGCACTGAAGTAATTAATGAGATGACCAAAACAAAAAAGTATTTATTTTTAATTGACTTTCATAAAAATACTATCAATCTTTACATTTCATCACGTTCAAAATGAGATAGTTGGTATGATATAGGCACATCATTTAACTAATAGTAATATAAACAGGCCATGATTGAAAAATATAATGTATATTTAAAATTTATTTTATTATAAAATCATAAATGTCATTACTCAAAGTGACACTAGAATTAATACATAAAACTGGAAATCTAATAATTCTATACCAAATTAAAAAAAAATACTGTATCAAGTTATTCCTGTGGGGCAGTCTTAAAATGAGAAAGATATAGATAATTATCTAAATAGTGATAGATGTTAGATTTGCTAGTCATAAGACAATATAAGATAGAGTGAAATCAATATGTATTTAAGCCTTTTATGCTTGTTGACATTAGTCACAGTATTGGCTTTAGTATCAAGTTTATTCAGCATCAGAGGGTTTAGAGATGTGCAAAAGAATGTTTATTTTTTCATGCTATGGTAAAAGAAAAAATGTGTTGCCCCAATTACCTAGATGTATTGCTTTTAATTATTTTGCTTTCTACAGCATGAGTTATACTTGTTTAGTTGTAATGAAAGAATGACTGGACCTCCCTGGTGGCACAAGGGATTAAGCACAGCACTGTGAAGCTGTCTGCAGCCTCTGCAGCAGGAGTTTGATCCCCCAGCTGGCCAGGGAGCTACTCACATGTGCAGCAGACCTCTCCTGTCCCACCTGCTGCTCCCCTCAGGATTGTATTTCAGTCAGCCTGCCTGTTCTGCTCCTCACCCCATCTCTGGTGAATCCTCTCACCCCTTCCCCAAACCCCCCACACCTCTGGCCTATATCTCAGTTCTTGTATGCATAAATAAATAAATCTTATTAAAAAAGAAGAATGACTTAGAGAAAGAGGGCAGCCCAAAGCACAAATTTAAAGTTAATCTGTAGCACAATTGTGATACAAATTGCTATATAACCTACCTGGACTTCCAATGGCCCTTTTCCATCTGGCCACAATCTATTTTTTGATGCAACCCTTCTATAGTTTCCTGTCTAACTTTGGTTTTCATCTTTTCAGGTTTGGATTTATTCTCCATAAAGATGAAGCTGCACTACAAAAAATTGATCTTGAAACCATGTCATACATCAAGACAATTAACTTGAAGGACTACAAGTGTGTTCCTCAATCTTTGGCATATACACACTTGGGAGGGTACTACTTTATTGGCTGCAAACCTGACAGCACTGGAGCAATTCCACCACAGCTCATGGTGGACAGTGTAACTGACTCAGTGCTTGGATTCAATAGTGATGTGACAGGCACTCCATATGTCTCTCCAGATGGGCACTATCTTGTCAGCGTTAATGATGTGAAAGGTCTTGTAAGGGTCCAGTACATTACCATCAGAGGAGAAATTCAGGAGGCTTTTGATATTCACACAAATCTGCACATATCTGATCTGGCATTCCAGCCGTCCTTTACAGAAGCCCACCAATACAACATCTATGGTAGTTCAAGCACACAAACTGATGTGCTCTTTGTAGAATTGTCCTCTGGGAAGGTTAAGATGATAAAGAGCCTTAAAGAACCACTCAAAGCAGAAGAATGGCCTTGGAACCGGAAGAACAGGCAAATCCAGGACAGTGGCTTGTTTGGTCAATACCTGATGACCCCGTCCAAGGACTCTCTCTTTATACTAGATGGACGACTCAATAAGTTAAACTGTGAGATCACTGAAGTTGAAAAAGGAAACACAGTCATTTGGGTTGGAGAAGCCTAGGAGTCCTTTAGATAATTATTGGATGAAGAGTTTTCCAGTACATTGCACTTAATCCATTCTTTAAATTTACAGCTTAACTTTTGAAGTTTATAGCCTACTCAAACATAAATTACTTGGTTGGCCCAAATAAAATAGATTTTTTTTTTGGCAAAAACATACACAATTAGAAACATTGGTTGGTTAGAAACATAGAACACAGTTTTAATAAGAAAATACATCAATCACAAGAATCAAATATATAATTATGTTGTTGAAGTTAGTAAAATAGAAATTTAAACACAAAAAAATAACTGCAGGGAAATTCTGATAACTTTAAGCATTTTGCTTCATTTTGAGGGGAAGTTTATCTATTTTTTTCTCTGTCCTTTTAGTATGCTTAAACCAGAAATAGAAGGTATTGTGGAACCTCAAGATTGTTCATTCAAAATATTCTGTCCCATTCACTGTTAATAATCTTTTGTGCCTTGAAGGGAATGTCACAAGAGGAAAAGGAAGGCTAACGCTGCATATTGGATACCCTCATAACTATAAATATCTTGTCTTTGAAAGAGAAATGTTTAACATCTCTTGCACCAAATCCTGCCTTCACTCATTTATTAAACCCTTAGTGAAATATCATTTCAAGGCTTAAATTGGCCTTATGGTGTATACAAGTGACAAACTCTATTTGACACATACTGTATAATCTGCAGCATGCGATGGAAAATGGGGAGGAAGGAAGGAAAAATAATTATGGTAAAATGTTTGCAATGTATTCTCTATTCATTTTGCTTTTAGCCACTAGATTGTGTAATTTTTTTTTTAATGCAAGTTTGTCTGGGATGTCAACTGCTTACAGATGTTTATTATTATCAGAACAGATTTTTTTTTCCCTTTTCATGTAGTCCAGTATTGCATCAGAAGAAATTTTTATTCTAAAAATGTAGCATCATTTGTATCTGCTTAGACTAAAACCACATATAGGGAAATTAACAACAGAGAGAGAAAGCTGGCTAAAGAATTGATAGAGGCTTAGGAGAATTAGTAACAAGAAATAGGAATAAGAGAATAGTTCCACAGTGGAGAGTACAGAGAGACTTCTCCAATTGCCTTTGCTATTTAAATATAACCCATCAACAAACTTCATTCCTTAATAACTTTCCTTAATGACTTCTGTTCAAGTCCTGCATAATCCTTAAATGACCCTCTCCCTAACTGTGTACTGTAGCTCCAAATTTAACTAATCCTCTTATATTGGACACTGCATAGAAGTAAAAAATGATTGCTTCTTTTAAAAAAAAATAAGGGCAAAGAAATGGCCAGTAGAAGTGGATTAAAACTAGAGTTGGTTTATTGAAATAAGCAGATAATTATCCAGGCTTAAAGTAATAGCTTACATGTTTTGAGAATCTTTTACTTATTTTTGTTTTATTGTTGCTAAAAATGCTAATGGCTTTTTGAAATGACCTCCATTTACTGAAGGTAATCCAATAAGGTCTTTTTTAAATACAAATTTTACTCAAGTTTAAATTGTGTAAAACTGCTTAGAAAACTGAAATTTTATAGTGTGTAATATCTTATGTGTATATATCATCCTGAGCTGTGTGATACAGTAGATTTCTTCTTAGCTTGAAAAAAAAATTATGGGAGGTAGATTTAATAAACAAGAAAACAGCTTATGTTTCTACTTATTGAATCTGCTTTCCTTTTTAGCAGTTTTTTCCCTTGTGATCATGATCCATATAAAGTTTCTGTGACCTAACAATTTAATGTAAGTCTGTCTCATACTTCTTTCTTTGGTAGCTTACACCTTGTGGATGCTCTGTCTGTAGACATTGCTTGATAAAAGGAGAATAAACCTCTTACATTTTAACCCTTAAGCATTTAGTCAATGTTTTAATGTGCAAACCAGTGTTTTGTTTTATTTTGGCTTGGTTTTATTTTCTTCCTAATGCTTCAAACATAGGCTGGTGCCATGTATTATTCTTAAAGTTTTGACATGGAGAAGATGTAAAGGCAAGTTAAGTGAGATCAATCAGGAAAAGAAATTTAGTTTATCTTTTTATATCAAAGTTGCTGTATCTGTTCATATTTGCTATTTAAGTCAGAGCAGTTATTCTTTTAAAAGTGTCAATTTCTTTAAATACTTTCTCATGTATCAAATGAATATCAGGATTGAATATCAAAAGTAGACTTGTCTATTGCAAGTGTATTCCTCAGCACACACTAGGGAGGATGTTACTTTATTGGCTGCAACTCCTACAGCACAGGAGCACTTCTGCCACACTCATGGAAAAAAAAAGAAAGTATTTTTCTTCCCCATCCTTACACTCTTAAACACACAAATATTGAGTCACATTTTTAAAGCAATATAATAGTTAAAATATTGACATTTGTAATTCTTTAAAAAACAATGTAATATTATGCTACAATATTTTCTTGGGAAGATATTTCTTCAATGATAGTACAAACAATAGAGTAAGAACCAACATCAAGAGGGGCAGCATTATTATTGTATGTACATCCTGATAAAAGTTGTATTGCAGATAACGATCTACAATCTCATCAACAATTTGGGTATGTGTAAAACCAAAAGTTAAGAAAAACTAGGATAAAATGAATATTTCATAATCCCCCCAAAAATTATAACATCAAAGAATAAATATTTTAATTGGCAGATGAAAAAAGTGAAGTGACAGCAAGGAAAGCATGAAAGGAGAAAATATGTGACACCAAAATGGAAATGATGTGTGGGGAATTACTCAAATAAGACTGAAAGAAGTTAATAGGTATGCAAAGAAGGTGATGTAGGAAGGCAAGAAAAGTAGGTTATCATCAAGTTTGGGAGGGAGGGAGCTGGGTATTGAAACTGATGTAAAGAATTTGGACTTAGTCCAGACAATATGGACCCAACAATAATTTTTCAGTGAGAAATGGCAGTGAAAACAGCACTTTAAAAATTTATTATTTTTGGTGGAATAAAGATGTGACTGAAGAAAAGGAAAATTAGCTGGAAAGCTGCTGCAAAATTATGTGTTTATGCCTTTAGTACAAGACAATTAAATTGAAGGTATACATTAGAAATCAGGGCATGTTAAGAAATCAACCTTGAAAACGTAACTGATAAATATGCATCATAAAAAAAGACAAACATGACAGTTCTCAAATATGACATCATTAGTAGAAACAGAAGTCATGAGGTTGAATGAGATTTGAGATTCAGGCAGATAATGGGGATTAAGATAAAATTCTAATTACGTGAAAATATTGGGCAATGAAGTTTATTCCCAGAGCAATGCCATCAGCGGACATAGTTTCCGGAGTTATTCCTCCTTCTGTTTAATCATGTGTATGCAAAGTCAATACATTTTAAGAAATGTAATTCAGAACCTTATCAACTTTCAAGCACAGCCATAAGTCTTTCATAGTGTTTTCTTTAAAAAAAAATAGTTAATTTGAATGGAGTTGACATTAGGGTCAAAATAAGGGGGCAGGGGGTGCAATAGTATGGGGAATAGAACCAAAATGAAAATGCATACAGTGTGCAAAAATGAAAAATGATGTAAGAATTATATAAAATAAAATATTAAAAATAAAATATCTAAAAATATTTTATAGAAAGAAACAAATTGTTTAATCAAGACAACTATGTAAATTTTTAAAGTGATGGAAATCAATACGACACTAAAATAAGGTACAACTAATGCATTAACCTTAAGAATTCATAAAGGTCCACTTCTAATGCCATTTGCCCCTGTATCTATTATTTAGCTGTTATTATCTGAATGAAGGGTAAAATGAAGAAAACGAACAACTATCAAAGGTCTGTTTTCACCTCTATTCCAAATATTGATATATTCTGACTAATTATATTTACCTTCATACATAGAAATATGTTTTGAAAGTTGTGCTATAGAAATTTGTGTCTGCTGTCTCAGGCTATGGTACATTTTCCCATCTCCCTAGAAGACTGTCTTAACTACATCAAATAATATGGTTTTGATTGCATTTAAGAAGATATATAATCCCATTAGTAAAAGGAAAAGCATTTAGCTTTTTTGCAATAATTAGGAACATATTTTTTAAAATTTGCTATTTCTGTGGTATGGGTATTGCAGCGGTATTTTACAGTAATTTATACAATAATTTATAATGATAGTAAATTAGAAAAATTTAACTTATACTTTTACACTAGTGTTCACTCATAGTGTAGAGATGATAGATTATTGATAGATACAGAAAAATTGGTATCTATCATCCATCAATCTGTAATCCATCTCTTTAAGCAAATGGTTTTTATATCAGTTACAAGAAGAAAGAAGAAATTTTTCGTGTCTTTTTAAAATGCATAATTACCCTTACTGGTAAACTGTGTGTACATGTATGTACGTGTAGATTGTTATCATCTGTTGCCTCTTGTTTTTTGCCTAAAACATTTGCTTAGCTTTCCTTTAAAGTGGTCTAATATTAAGAAATTATCTAGTTTTATTTTGAAATGTCTTTATTATTTCACCTTAATTTTTAAAATCAGTGTAGCTATTGTTATATATGATACCATTGACTGGAACTTTTTTTTTTATTTCAATAAATTTGAACATTTCACAGAAATTTGTTTTATAGGAATAATAACTAACTTTTAGCCTTCATTATTTTTGATAAGAAATCTGCTGTTATTCTAACTGGTATTCTCATGTATATGACATATTGTTGTGCTCTTGCCGAATTTCAAGATTATCTATTTGTCTTTGTCTTTTAATGTTTTTTACTGATATGTTTGAGATTAGATTTCTTTATACAAGTTGGTCATTGTTGAGCATTTTTTGATGTGTGGACTGTTGTTTACATTTATATGTGCTCAGCTTGTGTCATCTTAATAATTTGCCTGTACCTCTATCTCTTTTTTTCCCTGCCATGCGCATTATATGTTTGTCTTTATGATTCGTAGGGAAACATACATCTCTGAAACTTGATACCTTCTTTCAACAATTTATCTCTCTTTCCTTTGGGTTGTATATTACTTACGTAGCTACAGGTAGCTACAGGTAGGTTGATTATTTTCTTTGCCACTTTAAATATTCTTTTGGATCACTTCTGAGAATTTCTATCTTATTTCATTGTAGTTCTCAACTTCGGGATTATTTTTTGTTTATACTTCATCTATCAATTAATTCTAAGTTTTTATTTATATATTGTTTTTCATAAGACATTGTCATCATGTCTTCCTTTACTTTTTGTAAATTGTTTTCATTTAAAGTGGCTGTTTTGAGATCTTTAATGTAACAACTGGGCAATTTCTGGTGCATGCTTTTTTTTCCCTTTGGGTTAAACTTTCCTCTTTCTTTGTATATACCATAGTTTTTAGATTTTACATCTTTGATAACATTGAATCTATAGATACTCTATCTCTGGATTTTTCATTGTTACTTGCTTGTTTATTTGTTTATTGATCTAGCTGGGATATTGTAATGATATATAGCTTCCCCCTCAAAATAAAGACTGATGCTTATCCTTCAGAGAACAAGACAATGGCCATGTCAAATAACTCTGGGATGGCATTGTTGTTTTTTTTTAAGTAATTTTTTAAGATTTATTTATTTATTTATGCATACAAGAACTGAGGTACAGGCCAGAGGAGTGGAGGGTGAGAGAATTCACCAGAGACAGAGTGGGAAGCAGAACAGGCGGATTGACTGCAATACACTGCTGAGGGCCGAGTCAGGAAAGGTGAGCTGCACCATGTGGGTAGTTCCCTGGCCCAGCATGGAACTCTGCTGCACTCACTGCTGATAGCTTCATAGTGCTACATCTTAACCCCTTGTGCCACCAAGGAGGCCCCTGGGATGGCATTGTTTTAGAAGGGTTTGTTTTGACTTTTTCTTTGACTGATCTCTCTGTGAAGTTCTGTCTCTATTGGAATTACACCCAAAAATATTAGGTTTCATACCTGCTGCTTGCTTTCGCTACTATTTTTAATAATGCCCTGGGAGAGAAACTGCTGCTGTCTTCCAATAAAATTCAGATTCCTATGCAAGAGAAGCTATGAGATTTGCCTGAGGGTTTTGTTCTAACCTAGTCTTGACTGCCCTTTTCCTGGTTATGTCTAGAAAATTAGTGGACCAATGATTTTAGCTTACTACCCATTTAGACCTACCAGCTCCCCCTTTGTTTATTATTACCAAACTCCCTATGGTTTTTAACAGAGCCCTTAGGCTTGAATACGTTCACACTCAATTTCAAGTAAAATCAAATTTTTATGAGAATAGATATGATTTTCTCTGATCTAATGATATGTTTCTCCCTTATTCTTATGACCTACAAAAACTTAAGCTACAACTCTGGAACTGGTGATAGAAATATTTGCTTCCTACTCTTGGAGTAACATTTCATCTTTATGAGTGCCTTGAGTATGAGGTGGTAGCCTCTGATAGTCTGGGTTTTTCTCTTTGCTCTTCAGATTTTCCTAAAATGGCCTATTTAGAACTACATAATACAACAATTCATGTTTTTGATCATCAGCTCACCACCCTAAACTTTCTCCTATACTTATTCGTCTCCAATCACATAACTTATTTTTTTTTCCTTTTGAAAGGCCTCTACTGGTTTGTGTCTTTACACTTTCTTTTTCTTCCACCTGAAATAAACTTTCCCTAGATATAGCCTCATCAATTATTTCTTTACTTTCCACATGGGCCTGCTTACCAGTGAGATTCCCTTACTACCCTATTTAAAATTTTAAATAATCCCCCAGAATATGCCTACCCACCTTTGCTGTACTTTTCCATAATTGTGTAAGTTTCTATTATGCAACATAATATATTGTGTATTCATTTATTAACTGTCTAACCCAATCCAACACGTACACATGTAACCAAG